TGTGTGTGTGTGTGTGTGTGTGTGCATACATAAAGTGTTGATGGCCTACTGATAAGGAGCTGTGCTGTTACCCCAGAGACAAATGTCTCAAATCTACCAGTTGCTCCACAGGAAAAAGATGGGCAATCTCCTCTTAACAGTGTCATTGAAGATAAAAAGAAAACATTCTACTAAATGTTTATGCCAGAATTTTTCAGACACACTTAAATACATTGAACACTTTCTTAGCCTATGACGAAGCTAGAAAAAGTAACACTCACCATGCACCTGTAGACTATAAAATAACTCAGTAGCTCCAGCTGAGTTGATGGCTACACATTTATAAATGCCGGCATCTGAGATCTGGGCACTTTCAATGTCAAGTGTCTGTCCTCTGTTCAAGAAAGACACACTGGTGGAGCCTGAGAGTGGACGACTGTCCTTATACCATGTAATCGCTGAAAGGAAAGGAAGAGAAGAAAAATTACATACACTGGCTTAGCAATAAGAAGCTGCACTGGCACCCGCTCCACAGAAGAATGAACAACCTCCTGTCATGCAGTTGATTGTCTCTGAAAACCCTTTGGAGGGCCAGCTATGAATTAATTCCAATTCGATGGTATATAACAAAGACATATTTCAGTCTCATTAAAATACTATTAGTTGCTTATTCTCATGCTTATTATTCAAGTTTAACTTATTTAAATAAAAAAATCCGTTAGGATTGACAATTAGAAGATCTCTGAAGAATCAAGGGTTTTTTTAAGAGTTCTAAAAATATACGTAGACACAAAGACATTCCTTACTTTATTTTTAATCTCTATTTTCTCTGAGTAAATTTTCAATCTAGTCTTCCTTTCACTCACTCATTGCCACTGAGTGGAAATCGACTCACAGCTGACCCTCTAGTGGCAGTGAGTATGAGTTTTTTGAGTCTTTCTTTATTGTGTATATTTTTCTTATCGATAAAAGGTGAAAGTAGAAATTAAATATTATACATGTGTCAGCCTTCAAAGTTTTGTTATTGTTCATACTAGTGTATGAAGAATTTACCAATTATATAAATCAGTGAAACAAGATAACATTTTAATCTGTATGACTGTAACTTATAACCCAGTGATTAGTTTCATTAAGATGTTCTTACAGATTGTTGTTGTTATGTGCCATCTAGTTGCCTGTGACTCATAGCAACCCTATGTACAAAGCACACATTTTCAACAGAAATGCTTGTAAAATACCATGTGCTATTTTATGGTCACAATACGGGCATCAAGAAGATTATGGTATTCACATTTCTGCTGTTTAAGTGGAGATATTATTTTGTTCAATAAAAGGTAATGAAAAATTTAAAATCTCATCTAATATTCCTGTCAATATCCTTTACTCTTGAAATGTATTTGATAATTTATATTCCTTCGTTAGTGATTACTGTATTATTCCCATAAATAGTTTCAAGTATTCCCAGAAATCTGGAAATGCTAATAAGTTACTAAACCCAAAAGTAAACATACCAGGCAAAGGATTTCCAGCTGCTTTGCACTCTAGCTGTATGGGATTATTTACCACCACAGTCTCATTCAACATCTTCCCTGCATCTTCCAGACGTGGTGGTTCTAGAAGAGGCCCAAACAGATCATTATTTTACTTTTCCAATTTTAAACTAGTAGAAATGACAATTTCCTTCTTACCTTCCACATATATGCATAAATACATTTAAAATAAAAGCATAATATCAGGGTTGTATTCTTTATCCATACTGGCTTAATCTGTATGTTTAACAACCTATTTTAAAATCTGGACTCTATGAGGAGGAGTATGGCATCAAGATTGGAGGGAGACTCATCAGTAACCTTCATTTTGCAGATGACACAACCTTGCTTGCTGAAAGTGAGAAGGACTTGAAGCACTTGTTGTAGAAGATCAAGAAATAGAGCCTTCAGTATGGATTGCATCTCAATGTCAACAAACTAAAGATTCTTACCACTGGACTGGTAGGCAGCATCATGATGGATGAAAGGAGATTGAAATTGTCAATTGCTTCATCTTGTTTGGATACACAATTAACACCCTTGGTATCAGCAGTCAAGAAATCAACACACATATTGCACTGAGAAAATCTTCAGTTGGGGATCTCTTAAAATTATTAAGGACAAGTTGGAGGTTAAGGTGTGTCTGATTCAGGCCACGTCTTTCTGATTACTTGCTATGCATCTGAGAGCTGAATAAGGATTACAGAAGAATTGGCACCTTTGAGCTGCAGTGTTGGAGAAGAGCACTTAACATTCCATGGATGGCCAAGAGAACAGACAGATATGTCTTGGAGAGGGTGCAGCTGGACTGTTCTTTGGAGACAAGAATGAGGAGGCTTCATCTCACATACTTTGGGCTTCTTGTATGTAACAACCTCATATGTAACAACTGTTAGATGCTGCTGAGTTGAGTACAACACATAAGCGACCCTATAAACAAAAAATCTGAACTGTGTTCTATCCTGTGCCATCCTCACACTTCTTAACACACGAGAGCCAATTGTAGCAATCACTTTATCAATTCACCTGGTTGACAGTTTTCCTTTCTCTGACCTTCCACCCTTCCTAGCATCATGCCCCTCTCCAAGGAATAGCCCTTCCTAGCCTCATGCCCAAAGTGTGTGAAAGTGAAGCCTCATAATTCTTGCCTTCAAAGAGCACATTGGCTGCACCCTGTCCAAGACATATTTGTTTGTTTCTTTGACTGTCCTTGGGATGTTTAGTGCTCTTTTCCAACACCACAGCTCAAAGACATTGATTCTTCTTCTGTCATCCCTACTCACTGTCCAGCTCTCAGATGCATAAGAAGTGATCAGAAAGCCTGAATCAAACACAATTTAGTCCTCAAACTGACATCACTACTCTTCAACAATTTGGAGATGTCCCTAACTGCATTTTCCCAGTGCAATGCATATCCTGTTTCCTGACTGCCAGTACCAAGGGGAAGGGGTTATTTCTCAGAGATGCTAAGAAGAACAGAGGGTGGTGAAGAAGAGAAAGACCCTCGGCCAGGTGAATTGGCAGGGTAACTGCTGCATTGGGCTCTTGTGTGTCAGGAAGTATAAGGATATTACAGGATAGAACAAGGTTCATAGGGTCACTATGAGTCGTACTCAGCTTGATGGCACCTAACAACAGCAATACTATTAAGGAGTTGGCTGACAACCTAAAGGCAGCAGGTTTGAATCCACAAGCTGCTCCACTGGAGGATGGGCAATCCCCTCCCAATGTGATGCAGACCTTCTGAAAATCTACTGGTGAGTCAGCTCTGAGTTGAATCTGACTCAATAGCAAAGAGTGACTGTGAATGATTTAGTAAAGCTGAAGAAGAAAGCTAAAAAAAGATTAGTAGTTTCTCAATCATTACTTTTATCCCTATATGTGGATAGGAAAAATCCTTAGAAATGTAGAAAATAAAGTAATAAACAAACTTAAATTAATATTCTTTTTCTCTCCAGTTCTTATCCAAGACTTCTTACAAAGAAGCTATCTGTTTAAGCTCCTTCAGTGAAAAAAAAATCTATATCTCTTAAAATGTTAGTCTAGATTTTAAATAATGTTGTTTAAAACCATCTCAAAAAAAGAGGACTCTATTTTTGGTTATTATTGGGTTTTGTTTTGATATAAATAT